AAAAAAACAAAAAAAAAAAAAAAAAAAAAAAAAAAAAAAAGGTATTTTTAAAAACGGCATCCCTTCCAAAACACATCAGTAAGTGTTGCTCCTGTAGCCACACAGGAGGAAGTTCAGCTGCAGCTGTGCCTGGCTCGCTACCTGCCGCCCAAGTTTCAATTTTCACTTCTATCAAGGTTGCCTTTCATCTATATTAACTGTGTTTGCTTAGCAGAGCAAGGCAGGCCCTAACCACTGATGGTGGAGCCGCGGCTGCGACACCGTCTGCTGCGCACCGCAGTTCACAGTTCGTGGCCTCTCCCTCTCCACAGGCGAGGACGGAGGCTGAAGGAGGAGTCCGGCAGGTTCCAAATGCGTCGTCCCGTGCAGCTGGGTTCTAGGGGAGCAGACGGCCACATCCTACTCGGAATGAGGTGCACTCCTCTCTCCGGACGGCCTCCGCCTGCAGGCAGGCCCGTTTTGTTTCCTTTAGTTGTTTGGCTATTTTTAACTTTTGAGAGAAGGGTGCACCTGAGGCTGCAGGCTCCCCTCTTCCTCCGCCGTCTCTCCAGCTGTGGGTGATATCCCACCAAAGGCTGAGTGCTCTTCAGTTTGCATGTAGGCGTTTAAAAGAACCTCAACGGAAAAATTCAGCTGCTGAAAACCAAAAACAGCAGAGTGAGAGGGCCGGCACAGAAGGATCCTTTTCATTTTGGTTAGAAAATGTGAATCTGACCGCAGGCAGGCCAATCCGCGGTCAGTGAACATTAAAAAATAGCGAGATCAAAGGGTGGGGCCTTTTGAGAACACAGAAGAGAGCTGCTCCTGGCCTCAGGGTTTTGCGCTCGGCCTGACCTGCAACCCCAACTTGGCTCAAGGTCAGACCTTGGTGCTGAGCTCTGGAGCGAGCAAGGTAGCATCGGAGGCCGGAGGCGGTGCCATGAGGGGAAGAGGAAGAGCCACCTGCGAGGCAGCAGGGGTCCCTGGGACCGCCGGACCAAAACAAGTTTGGGGACAGTTGCTCGTTTACCTGTTTCAGACAAGTGACCCGGACGATCTCTGCAGGGCACTGGGGGGTCAGCCGCTCGGTTTACCACGTGAAGGGAAACAAGGTTGCGCTCTAGAGTGAGTCAGGGCTGAGGTACAAGGAGGATCCCTGGGAAGTGACTGCGCTTGGCAGCCAGATGCAGTGCACTGAAAGGTCCAGGAAGGAGACTGGGCGGCCCTCACCCCCAGAAGATACTCGCCACCGTTTCTAAGATCAAACACTGTTTCTGATCCCAAATTGGCTTCTGATTTGTGACTTGTGTATAGTTTCATATGGCTTCTGCCTCCTTCCAGTCTTCGGGTCTTGAAACTGTGCAGCCCTTTCCCTTCCTGACTCCGCAGCAAGTCAGTCTCCAAAGTTTCCTCACTTTGCATCCTCAGGCTCGCCTTCCCGGAGCCAGCTCCTCTCTCCTTTCCACTGCAGTTTTGTTTAGCCTCACGTCCTCCCTGAATCCACCTCGAGATGTTCCTTGCTGCTCAGACTTCCTACGAAGATAACTTAGGCTTCCCCCTGATGACCGCCATTCCCACCTTGCGACCCTTGGCGACACGGACCACCGTTCCGAGTCCTTCTAGCCTCCTGTTTAGTCAGTGACGGACTCCTCTCCTTTCCGGCTGCTTCCTTCCACCTCCATGCCCTGACCCTGTCTCCCAGATCCTGTCCTTGGTCCTGCCCTCCTTCCTCCGCCACCCTCCCCTGTGGAAATCTCATCCATTCTTGGGGCTCCGTCTAGCACCTCACACGGAAGTCCCAAGTACATGCCCAGCCCAGCGCGAGCTCCTGCCCCTCGCTCAGCCCGGTTTCAAAGACGTCTTCCCAGTTTCCCAGGCTACAGCCTTACAACCTTCTTTCCCTGTTCTTGTTTGTGGCTTTTGTCACACCAGTCACTGGTTCTCGCCCCGTGTCTATTCTCCCGTCTGTTTCTCCGCTCACCTCTGACCCTGGACCTCTGCCATGGCCTGCAGCCTCCACGGCGCCCCTCTCCTGCCTGCTCGTCTGGACGTTACCCTGCGATCACCCCTCCTGAAACTGCAGCCCCTCAAAGTTCTTCAGTATTCTCCACTGCCAGCGAAGTAAGGTCCAAACTCAGACACGAAGATACTTAAAAGGCCTTTGTGATCAGCCCAAACCCACCCCCAGAATGTTGATTTTTCACTCCTCAGATATCTCTCACCAACCTGAACAATTTCTAGGTATTCTTGGTTATGTTCATATTATTTCTACCACCTAAAAGCTCTTTCCTCAACACTTCCACAGATCCAAATCCCACACATCAAAGGTCAAGCTGCAATGCCTTCCCCATCCTTGTGTCTTCTTCTGCCCAGGGGGAAAATAACCTGTTCTTCTTCCTCTGAGCTGGTTATAAATGCCCCTTGTCTCCCCCAGGGATGTGTAAGTGAGTCGTCGGTAGGAGCTGAACAGATTGTGTGTGTCTGCGTACGTCTGTGGGTGCATACACATGCACACTTTTTTTTTAAGTTCAATATTCTCTATGTCACTGTTCAACCTGTTTCTACTGTGACCAGAAGTTGTCAGTGTGGCAGTAAATCTGAAGTCCCAGCCATTTGGCAGGCTGAGGCAGTAAGATTGCTATAGCCTAGGAGCTGGAAGCCACCTGGGCAACATAGCAGGATCTTAACAAAAAAAAACAAAAACAAAAACAAATTATATATATATAATTTGAATGGTTGAATGGTTTCAAAAGAGAAATTTGTGACTTCCCCCATGGATCTACTAACCTGGGTGAGGGAAATGGAAATCTACACTTTAAAACATGCTTTCCAGGGCCAGGGATTTAGCTCAGTGGTGCTGTGCCTGCCTAGCAAGCTCAAGGTCCTGAGTTCAAGCCCTGGTACCAAAAACAAAACACGCTTTCTGCTAAACCTTAGACACAATGGACTCTGAGAACTGTCTGCAGCCTCACAGTGCCCTCCGTAGAGCAGACACCAACAGGTCCTTGGTACATGGATGCACCAACGGGCCCACAATGTAGCTGCCTCTCTCACACCTCATCCCGTTGCCAGATTATTCTTCCTGTGGCAACAAAACCCTTCTTTAGAAACTTCCATGGGGCTGGAGATTTAGCTCGGTGGTGCTACCTCATGCCTCGCAAGCCCAAGGACCTGAGTTCAATTCCCAGTACCAAAAACAAAAACCAAAAAACAAAAATTTTTTTTCATGGATTTTACTGGCTTGCAGAGTAAAACCCAAGCTCCCTGGTGAAGGCCACCTAGAGCCTGCTGCCCACCGAGAGCCTCGGAGCCAGCACCACTCAGGCGCTTATCAGAAATCCAAGGCGCAGGCCCCAAACCAGACCTCCAGAACCAGAATTTGCAGTTTAACAAGGGTTCTTCTGTACCACAGAGACGGAGAAGCACGCGAGCACCCTGACTCATCACACCGAGGTGGCTTCCACCACCCCAACTCCAGCCAAAATCCAGATACAGTTTACAGGCCGTCTCCGTGCAGTCTTCCCTGATGCTCTCGTAACTAGGAAAAACATTCCTGTTTCTGTGCTCTCACACACCTGTATCACTGTGCACTAACCTACATGCTACATGTGACACACGAGTGCTGTCCCACTGGCCTACATCACACAGG